CTTGTGTTCTGCAGCTGCATGCTGTTAAGCAGCGTCTGTGCCTGCCTCTGTGCCTGTTTCTGCCATTTTATCGCCACACGCATGGTGAGGCCTCAGGATTGCACTGAAAGCAGTCCTTTATTCACTTCAATAAAGTTGAGTTGCAGTTTGAAACATGGTGAGACATGCTGTATTGTGCAATGCTGGGTGGTGAGTAAAATGTAGGATGCCCAGAAAGTGCTGTATACAAAACAGTTTTGGTGCTGCTGACAGTGCTGTAGCAGTGGTGAAAACCAGCTCTGTGCATGTTTTGTCTGGTGTTGATACAACTCCTAATAATTCAGTCAACACTGCCTACAATGTTTTGTCTTATCTCAAAATGCAGAATATACAGAGTAAGCTGTGTTTTTACTCAGCTGAAATGGTTGTTTGAGCAATTTTCCATGATGCTAAAAATGCTATTGTTACATGCTGGTGCTTAGTTTAAGGACATCTGGGTAAAACATGCTGAAATGGGAACTGCTGTCCAGAAATGATGACCAGGATGGTGTGATGCTTACACGGGCTATCGGAGGGCTTCAGGAATGAGCTTGAGCTTCATATCACTGAGTCATTTCCTTTACAGGAACCAGGAGGATCCTGCAAAAACAGCATGTCTGTGCTGACAACCATTCAATAACATGGCAGTGGTAAGCCCACACATTTTCTGCCATCTTGCACATTGGTGTTTCTCCGCACAGCTGAACAGGGAAAACTAAACCTTTGTAGGACTCATGTAAGGCTGAGATTTCTTCCTGTTGCTACTGAAATGTGTCTCAGAACAAAATCACGGCTTCTGTCAGTTTTGAAACCTTCCAGGAAGACTCTTGATTCATGTCCATTTCAGTTTTTACCAGTCAGATCTGCACCGTCTCTACCTTTTAGTGGGGGGAAAAAACATTTCAAATACCAAGAATACCAGCCTCTCTTGTCTGTGACAGCAGCCATCCATATGTCCTGTGCTGTCGAATCACAGGCCTCCCAGTACACTGCTGAACAATAATGTCACCTGCGGGAATCTGCATATTTGTAACCTGAGCTGAAAATGGCTGATAAGTAAAGTTTGCCCTGGTCCTTTTCTTGCATCAATGTTTGCACTCACCACATGCAGGGTGAGTCATTGCATAGTCATTCAATTGGCTTAAATTACCTCCTTTCATGGTCAACAATGAGCTCAGCTGAAGAGACTAAAGCGGGGGAAGTAGGGCCTTCTGGGAATGCTCCATTTGTTCATGAATCCTGACTCTAATTGGTTGTTATTGCGACTGGCAGTCACCATGCTGTAGGGGTGGAGTAGGCCAATGTTTGCTTCATACTCCTCCTCAGTCTGCTGCACAACAGGCTGCCATATATAACAGATAGTCGTAATTGCCGCAAGAGAGGAGATTGATTAAAAAAGACATCAGCATGATCACATGACGACGGGCCAGGATGGAGGCGCACTATCAGCTGACCGTAGTAATGATAATCTTTAAATTATTCTGTTAAACAATAATGAAAATAATTGGTGGTTGCCACTGTACATAATGTCAGACATTAGGAACAGATGCTCATCACAAAGAGTCAGCTACCAACTGTTTCCATCAAAAGTTAAAAAAAAAAAAGTCAAATAGATTCAGTTTATTATAAAGAGTCAGAAAAGAATATTTAAATCCTCACATCGCACAAGATGGTTTGAGGTTTTAACGTCTTTCAGCTCATTGTTTTGGTTTTACGACCCAAAAACTGTTTTCCCTCTAAAAACTGATTGTACACTACCTGCTCGCCACCAAGTAGATGACAAACACAGTTAACAACTAGCTCGTGAACATAGTGGAGCATTTAGGAGCAAAATGCTGATGCTCAGTGTCTGCTGGATGTGTAAAAAGGAGACTGTTCACCATAACAACCGAGGTGATAAACTTTAAGTACAGCTTGTTCCTCTGCCCTCAACGGGCCCCAAAAAAAACAAGCAACAAACAAACAAAGCAAATGATTAATGTGTTATTAGAATAGTTATTTAATGATATGTCTATTAAGTAATTATCTAATTGTTTCAGCAGGTTTTTTTAATGGCATTTTACCTTCATTAAGTTTTTACCAGCAGGCACTAGCAGGAATTACAAGGGGAGAGAGAGAAAGGGAGATGACATGCAGCACATGTGTTTGGTTGGATTTAAATACTGGACACCAGAGTTACACAGTTCGTGCTGTAGACCTCAGCAGGATGCCCCGCCTGGTAACCACACTAAAATACTGAAGTCTGTCAAAAGAAGGCCCCACCCAGAGCGAGTCACAGGCAGTCTATTTGCTCTTTGGACTATTACGCATTGACTAACATCCCAGTGAAATCCCTCCCTTCGCTGTTCTCCTCCTCTTCTCCTCTTCATGACGTAGTAAGTGCAGTTACAACCCTGCCCCTGTGCTGGGACAAGGCAGCTGTTGTCATGTGCTTGGGGATAATGTGCAGACTGTGTCTGACTAATGGCTGGCTCTCTTGTATCCCTGTCTGCTGTTAGCACCATGCCAACTGGGCCATCCCGATCAATGAAGCACTGACAGGAGGGATATACAAAATACACACATGCAAACACTGTCACAGTCTGATACACTGGAGTATGAAGCAGACAACACACAAGACATGGGAAACGGAGAGTGAAAGAAATACTGTTTACTTCTATCTTGATTCAACATGATGATTTTAAGATTTGATAACAGTCTGCTCCATGTCATCTGATAACCCGTTAATTAAAATGCTGATGGTTTTTTTTTTCATCGTTTACCCACAGTCAAGCCCGCAAGCATTACATTCACACCATCAGCCCCATAAATGTCTGTAACTCTAACACAAACTGACAGTTCAAAAGGGGAACTAAGATGCTCAGTTACAGAGAGCGCCTGTTGGTTTAGTGATAGTATCTCCTCAGATCTGGGATGAGGCAGCGAGGCTGGGCAGGGCAATCGCAGAGTGATCCCATGTGATACAGACCGCTGCACATTTGCCTTATCCCACATGGGGTGTGTTGGTCCAGCTTCACAGAGGGCACACGAGGGCATCTGCTTCAAATATGTGTGTGTGGTCTATGGGGAATTATAAATGGATAAGGCACACACATGTCAACCCACGTTTTCTTTTTTTTTTTTTGTCTTTTCTTTGCTACATGATTTATACATCTTCCTCCATTTGGAAACCCCATACAGTATATCCCCTCTTTTCTGCTAGAGACTGGTAATGTCTTGTCACACTCTCATATGCCAAGAGGACCAGGGCACTCCAGACAGATGGCAGCAGCATCCAGCTCTGGCAGGAGTGGACATGGACCCTGCCCAGCAGAGACAGCAAGAGAGACTGACTGGAGTGAAACACTAGTCTCTTTTCTGTCTCCCAAACTGATGCTTTCCAGACCCCGGCCGCATGTTAATATTCTGTCTGGATGCTTAGCAGAAAGATAAACTAAATCGCAACATTTGTTTGGCCCGTGTGTTCGTTTTCTATTACCTCTCCTCCTGTTACCCCCTGCCTTCTAAATACAATTTGGCCTGGTATGCAACTTTGTCAGTCACACAGGCATTTCAAAGCAAATAAGCTCCACCCTGCAGCACTGGAAAAAGCAGGGATGGTGTGTGTGTTTGTGTGTGTGCGTGCACGTGTGTGTGTGTGTGTGTGTGTGTGTGTGTGTGTGTGTGTGTGTGTGTGTGTGTGTGTGGTGGAGGGGGTGTACTAAACATTGCCATCTCTAAATTCTCTACTCCTGCCAGCTCTTTGGTCTGTGGGAAAGATGGGGGTGGGGGGTGTGTGTATGTGTGTGTGTGTGTGTGTGTGTGTGTGTTTGGCCCTGGGGTCTCTTGATCAACATCAGCCCCTCCCATCCTTTAGTCCCCAAACCTGCCTTTGGGTATCAGGTTGTTGGGACACACCTCCACACACACAAACTAACAAGCACACGACCTCCAGTTTTCTCTCCCCCGCTGCCTGTGATGACAGTGACTCCCCGAGGGTCAGCACAGAGGGGCTTCCACAGCGTCATCAAACGAGTGATCTCTCACCTGTGTGTGTGTGTGTGTGTGTGTGTGTGTAGTTCTGTATAGAGGGAGTGTTTGTTCACACCCTCTCTGCCCCGCCACCCCTTCATGTGATCATAATATCAGCCCGTCTCCTCATGATCTAGGGTGGTGCGCTGAGGGGAGTCTGCTCTGAAATGAGAGGCGTTAGTGATTAAATCAGAATAAACCGTGCTCTCCTCCTGATCCTGCTGCGTACGCGCCAATATGTTGTTGTGCTTAGTTTATGGCTACACTGATTAATTGATCAGTGACAGAAGATTAACGGGCAACTATTGTGATAATTGATTTAAATTACATTTCAAGAAATAATTCCAAACAGCTGATGGTTCCAGCTTCTCAGATTTGACATTTTGCCGCTTTTCTTGGTCTTACATTATAGTAAGTAGTGATTTTGCGATTGTTTGTCAGGCAAAGAAGCGCATTGACAGATTAATCAATAATGAAAATAGGAGTTTGATGCAGCCCTAGATTATTTAGAAGATCTATCTGTTTCCCTGTCCATAGTTTCAGTTTTTAGGCCTCAGAGCCTAAAATGAGCAGATGGATGAGGACGGCATCACATCTCTGATATTTAAATTAGAATAGGTATTTATAGTAAACATAAGATAAAAATCTTTCTAATAGCTTTCTAAAACAATTACAACACATTAGGGAAACCTGTTTTTTTCCCTTGGTCTTGCTTTGAGTTTATTAGAGGGCTTGTCAAGCAGGGAGGCAGGAATTAGTCAGTGTCATATGTGTTTGCTGCCTTAAACCTCTATTATTATTTGTATGATGAGTTTAGGCCTCAGAAACACTTGCCATCTTTACTACTTTACACCGTACTGTCTCTGCTCCCCCTGCCTCTCTTGTCTCTCAGTGAAAATAAACTTAGCCCCTATCTCTCTCTCTCTCTCTCTTTCTCTTTCTCTCTCTCTCTTTCTCTCTCTCTCTGCCAGGTGTAGATGCTCCAGGCGCAGCGGGACCCAGCCTCCGTGTCAGAGAGGGACGAGGCTGCTCCCTCCTGGGCCACAGCACTCCTCTGAAACTCGGTTCGTGGTCTCTCTCTCTCGGAGCACTAACCGCTGCGGGTTCGAGAACAGGAGGAGGAGGACGACGACGACAGGGAAGCCATTTTGTGAGGCGAAGCTGAGTCGCTCTCTGTGCAGAGACAGAAGCCGGAGTAGTCACGGCCGAGATATTTCAGGCTGCTCCCTGCCCTCTGAACTCCACCGCCATGACGACTGCGGTGCAGCCCAGTGAGCTGGTGTTTGAATTCGCCAGCAATGGGATGGACGAAATCAATCAGGTATATATGACAGTGGAGAAGCCACAACTGAAACTTTTGAGGGGCTTGTAATCAATATTTTTTATTTGATCAAAAGACCTTTGGGCCATTTTAACCAGATGTACTGTATGTGATTTTGTTGATAAATGTAAGACAAACAAAACTTGTGTAAACAGCATGGTCACTGGGGCAGGAATAGCTGTGACTCAGGGCCTGTGATCTTCAACTCTGAGAACATGCTGGGGAACGAGGCAGGCGGAGGGGAGGATGGAGCAGAGAGGAGGTCTGGGAGGACGAGTGTGGGCTGTTGGGAACACAGACATGGAAAGGAAAAACCTGCAGCGAGGCTGGGGTGCGTGGGAGGGAAAGGGTGGGGCTTGGCCGCGAATGTGTTTATGACAGAAAGGTTACTGTGTGTGGATACGATGTGAACCTGTGCCTATGTGTCTTTTCATTGCCTGGTCAGGTGTGCAGTTATCTCATCCCCACACCCGTGTCTGAATCCTGTGGAGCAGGCTTGATTGTAAGTGTGGATGTATGTGTGTTTATGTGTACCGGTGTTTGTATGTGTGTATCTAGAGTGACGAGTTGTCACTGGATCCCTGAATAGCACCGGTTCAGGCCTAACCTGACAGACCAGTTACCAGGCTGCTTGAAAGGCACGGGATAATTCCACGAAAAGGTCTTGCATTGTTCAAGGGCTACGGTTTTGTTCCTTGCTGCACCCACTTAGCCTGTTATGCAAGCAGTATGCCCCTATTTACCAAGTCCTGAAAATACCCCTAAAAAGGAACAACACGCTGTAATGCACTGCACTAATGTAGTGCCGCAGTGGCCATTTTGTTTCTTCTGGCTGTTGTAAAGATTTATTTAGGCCACAATAAAGCTGTTGGAGCTGAGTGAAATCATAGAGTAGGTTCTTTAATGATTAGCCTTGCTGTATTGGTTTTTAGGTCAATAAGTAGCTCCCTTGGGTGTATCATGTATTGACTGCAGGGTGATACTTAGCTTTGTTATTTTGTACACAATCTCTGATTCAACTACAGGTAGCTCTGCAATTTGTTCTCTTAATTTGAAATAAAAAATAAAAGTTTCAAGCTACAGAAACAAACGTATCTGGCTTTTAGGTAAAAAAAAAAAAATAGCATCTCTCACGCTGCAGGCAGATACACTTTGTCAACTGTTGTGAATCTGAGGGTATTGTAAGTGTACAGACAGTTGGACTCCATTGTGGCTGAGCAGGTAAAGCAGAAGAGAGTAGGGTGTGGCGGTGGTGGTGGTGATGGTGGTGGTGGTGGGGGGCAACCTGCACAGATGCTGTTGCTTTTAGAGGCAGAATGAGGAACTCAAAAATGCAAATCGACCTGATTCTTATCGCACTTGTTGTTTCCCTACTAGAAACACTATCCAAGTCAACAAAGAGGAAGAAGCTGTTAAAACCTTTATGATGTTGAATATTATTTGTCAGACTGTGTTACATGTCTCACGGTCCTCCCTGAGAGCCCCGCTTTTTCACAACGTGACGCCTTTAAACAACAAGTTTCTCTTCTCTGTAGTTCTTTACGCATCGCAAAGCACTTTTCAAATTGTCAAATCAAAACTTAGTTTACATGACAACACAAGAATAGTCTAAAGGTGTTCCCAGCAAAAACAGGATCTGTAGAGACAGCCTCTCCAGACGTCTCTCACTCTGTCAGCAAACTGTGTGGGACTCAGCGTTTCATGGGAGGGGGGAGGTGTCGTTTCGATGTTTCATGAGCTCAGCAGACCAACAGTCAAAATGCCACACAAGGACAGCAAACATCATTTAAGTTCAGGCGGGGAGATGTGGTAGCCTCCCCGTCTAGCTATCTGATAATATGTCTACCAAAGACTCCGATTAATGGGAAACATTCAGTGTATATCAGTGAGACATTGATAGCGCCTGTAGTCAAAGCAAAACCATGGGTTTTTATTAGCCCCAGGAGGCCTCGTGGTTTCGCTGCCGAGATGACACAAGGTGTTTGTTGCTGATCTTCCAAATCTTGCTCTATACCCACAGACGCCTACACTACAGTACGTACAGAGCATATGTTCAACTAATGAACAGCTTTGGCTAATTACTGCCGGTGCTGCTTAGAAGGACTAACCGTTTAACGCAATGTCCAAATAACGAGCCAGTCTGTTAGTCTGCTGGTTAAAGTGTAGCTGAAATGGGTGTGTATCTGGCTCCATTGCCCCCTCTTCTCACCCCCACGACTCAAGGCCCAGACACCTGGTATGCCTCGAGGTCCAAACCAACAATGGACACTTGTGCAAAGAGACAGATACGCCTTTATTCATGTTTCTCTTACTTCACCTTTTTGTCTTGTCTATTTCTCCCTTTAATCACACCATCACTGTAAGAATGTGCTTTTGTTCTTCTACATTGTCTGGTTGGTTTAAATTTAGATAGAATACTGAATAACACAAACATCTATTTAAAGAGAAAAAACAGGTTGCTGGTTAACATTTTCTTTCTTTCTGCTTTTCAGTGTTTCAGTGTTTTGTACATGAGGGTGTTGTGACAAGTTCTAATGAAAAACAACAGTCCAGCAAATTGTCTTGTTTTTTCAGATAGGTCTATGTCTGGTGGCATTAAGTTGCTGGTGGCATTAAGTTGCTCTCTGATCACTCTGATGCACATTTAGAAAACTCTGGTTTAGCCAAAGCAGTTTCATTAGCTGCTTGGCACCGACATGGTAAAAGAAATGATCTCTGCACAGTTTGTAGTGTAGTGTAGTGTAGTGTAGTCTGCTGCCATCTCCTGGTGGTCAGTTGACCCTGAGTGGTTTTGAATCAAACTGCAACCTGAGGTGACCTTTTTCATTTAAAACAAAAATCATGATTATGGATTAAAAATTTAATTTAATTTGATGATTTCTGAATCAGATCCGCCTTTGCCTCCGATGCTGAATGTATTTCATACAAAGCGACAGCTCACTTAAGTCTCAAACTGAGAGCTTTAGAGGACCGTATGACCCACTTATTCATAGGACTGAGTTAGTCCCCATGTCCCTCACATTGACACGAACCAAACGCCCAGCGAGGACTCTTGACACGTGTGTGTTTGAGGAGCTCTCTGGTCTGTTGTGCCTCTTAGTTGTTCCTCCGTGGTTTGGACCAAACTCCCCCTGCTCCTTTTCTGCATCAGGCTGTGCCGTGCCTGAAATGAGACGGCAAGGTTGGAATTCCCAAAGCACGTTTAGGACATGATGAAGGGGGCGTTTGCCTGCAGTTCATGATTGATCCATTAACATTCATTTGGGCTTATATAATTTCTGAGCATAAGATTAACTTCTCAGGAGAAGTAGGCCAAATCAAACATCTGGTTCCTGTCTTCTTCAGCGGGTCCCTGTGGGCTGCTGCAACACCACAGAAATGAGCTTTCCTCCATGCTATGTGCCTCCATATTAGCTGAAATTGAGTATGAATCTACAATATTTTACAAGGCAATAAAAATAAGAGACCAGATCGGGTTATAACATTAATCTGATGTCATCTGTGGTATTTATATTGCATTTATGACGTGTAGTGGAGGAATTAATGGCGTTTTTATTGGATTTACACGTATGTATTCGCAAAGACCATCTGTCCCTTGCCTCCCAGTTGTAGCGCCGGTGTTGCGACATCTCATACCTTTCTCTATGTGTGTATCTTTGTTTGTGTGTGTGTGTGTGTGTGTGTGTGTGTGTGTGTGTGTGTGTGTGTGTGTGTGTGTGTGTTCTCTTTCCATTTAGCTGGACGACCCATCAGTATTCCCAGCGGTGATTGTTGAACAGGTGCCTGCAGCCGATCTGCTGCAGGTCTACTCAGGCCTGGAGTCGGATGAAGTGCCCAACGGCATCATGGTGGACACCACCCTCCACGTGGTGGAGGAGTCATCCATCTTGGTGGGAGGGGTGGACCTCTCAGGTAAAGATATTTTACTTTGCTATCTTATCTACCTTTTTTTTTTTTTTAAATCAGTTTACGTCTAAATTCACAACTAAATCTGTTTCTTTTTTTTAATTGTTAATGAAACAAATGTGAATCTCATCATATATATACACCTGGACCTGGATCATCTTAGTCTTAAGATGGATCACAGAAACCGGGGCCCTGCTCCACAATTTCCAAAACGTTTCTGGGAAAGAACAATGCAATTTGATACTAATTATCAGGAATCAAAAACAGTCTTCACTTATTTAATTACAGTTAATCACTAGCATAACCTAGAGAGTCTTTAATGAGTAAACAGTAGGCTACCTGAATATATAAAAATGCAAAGCAGACAATTCAGCATACATGAAGGACAACCTTTCCGATGATAAATGAATGAAGAATGAATAAGTATTTGTGTTTAAATGGAACTTTTCTTTGAAAGATATTCATATTTTCCTAAATCATTATCAAATTACTTTGTTCTTTCTTGGAAACTTACAATATTTCCCTTTTTTTTTGTACCATTAATTTTTTATAGATCTTGATGTCACCTTTAAAATTCGATTAATTCCTTCAGATATATCTGATGTATCTGATAAAGACACAGACAAACTGAAATACCACAATATATGAAAAAAGAATTTACCTGCAGGGACCTCATGAATTTGTCTTTGTCTGGTGCACAGAAACAACGGTCTCAGGTGCAGAGGACAGCATGGAGACAAACGAGGCTGCGGCAGCTCTTCTCAACATGGAGTCTCCAAACAACATTTTGGATGAGAAACGTATGAGTAAGTTCATTTGCGTTGTTACAGTTTCAGAAATGGTGCAAAAATATTTCAGTTTTGATCCCACATTAATCATATCTGGAGCATTCGACTCGATCTTCGTGGTGTATTCATGGTTTGTCTGTGTTCCTGTTTGTCTTATTTATGTTCAGTTCACTCCTATGGCACTCTGCTGGAGTCAGAGCTGACATATGCCCCACTGAGGCCCGACCAGATGGACAACAGTGCCCTTGACGTGTCCCTAGACGAGGACACTTCATCCATGGATGAGATTCCCCAAAAAACTTCATTAAAACCTCAGAAAAAAAGCAAAGGTAACAGTGTGCTCCTCCTCCCTGTTACAACACAGCAATGATCTCCTGTGATAAAGTTTCAGTGTTGTAAGTAATTGGATGATTTCACTGTGACCTTATAACATGCCACCCCTCAATTTGAATCATAGTCCGGAAGCCGCGGGCGGTGCGTCCCTGCTCCCCTATCACCACCCCTAACCTGCCACTCAGGAAGAAGAGCAAAGAGGGCAAAGGTAAGCCTCACTAACTAGTCCGCTTCTCTGTAATGAGCCAATAAAAATCAAGGTCTCTCCCCCTCTTGTGTACGCTCTGTTTCCTCCTGTGGAGTGTGCAAACAGCAGTCCTCAACCCCTGCAGTCCGGCCGGGTTGAATCTGGCCGAGTTAATGGATGAGGGACTCTCAGAGTGCTGTGTTTCACAGGGAAACAGAAGTGATTGTAGGCTGGAGGGCACGCTGATGCTCCACTGATAGAGGCAGACTAGTGCTGCTTGATGTGAACCCTCATTGCACCATACAGTGTGACACAAAGAGGAGGGGGCTGGAGACGGCAGGTTCAGCTGCACACATATACATCACCCTGTCACCGTGTCTGGGATTCAAGTGACTGCTGGGAGCGATGCTGTTTTTAACCACTTCTGGCCACAGTATCTTGCAAATTAGAGTAATCTACTCCCAGGCTTGGTATAATTAATTCCCTTCCAAGGCACACATGCACACACACAACAGTTACACAAGTCGTTTCTCCTGTAACCCTGTAGCTGCCATGTAATATTTTTAAGTAAAACTCTGAAAATTGCTAAAAAAAAAAAAAGAAAAGAAAAGATAGATGTCTGTAGCACAGCTCTAAGGCCTCACCATGGATGTACGATGTGCTTGAATGTAAAAAACATGACTTAATTTATCCCCCTCCCTGAATTTGCAGGCAACACCATCTACCTGTGGGAATTCCTTCTGGCTTTACTGCAGGATAAAAACACCTGTCCCAAATACATCAAGTGGACACAGCGGGAGAAAGGCATCTTTAAGCTAGTGGACTCCAAAGCAGTTTCAAAGCTGTGGGGCAAACACAAGAACAAGCCTGACATGAACTATGAGACCATGGGAAGAGCTCTTAGGTAAGACGAACATACAGATGAGCACCATTTTCCAAAGCGCCGTTGTCACGCACATTAGCTCCCATTTAGCTCTGAACCCTGCAGACATGATCCCACAGACATGTTCATATTTTTATGAGGCTGTTAGATTTGAATGATGATCATGTCTATAACGTGTTAAACAGCTCCTTATCTGCTTTCTCCTCTAGGTACTATTATCAAAGAGGCATCCTGGCTAAAGTGGAGGGGCAGCGGCTGGTGTACCAGTTTAAGGAGATGCCACCTGATCTGGTTGTGATTGAGGATGAAGACACGAGCTCAGACGCCAACGCCGGCTACGGTAACCAGAGATCTACCAATGGGAGGTCTGTGGTCCGTGGAGGTTCCAAAGGGCACGGGCGGGCTCATGGTCAACACCAAGTCTCAGTGAAGCAGATGAAGAAGGAGCCTAATGATGAATGTCTATACCAGGAAGCTAATGGTGGACACGCCGCGCATCTCCTTCAGTCTGTTCATGTGTTGCACGCAAATCAAGTGTCGGGTGTCCAAGATCCAGCACAAGCTATGAGGTAAGAAGAACACAATACCCACTGTTTCCACACTGTAAATCATATTGAGAGTGTCTGTAAGTTAAGTGAGGAATGCTTTCATTTCAGTTAGCTTAGCTTAGCTTAGCATAAAGATTGTAAATAGGGGGAATCGGCTAGTCTGGCTCTGCTCACATTGACAAAAAGGCTCTAGGAAGTTACTGTTCCCGGCCAAGAAATAGTTCCAGGAGTTTACACCTGATCAAACCGCAACATGTTGTTTTTACACTTCGGTTTTTGTATGGATTAAATTAAATGAAATATAACATGCTAATTGGAGAACGGGCAGACACGAGAGTGGTATCAGTCTGTTCATCTAACTCGGTGCAAGAAAGCAAATTAGCTTTTGTATTTCACAAAATATCAAACTGTTCCTGTAAGGGATCCTTACCCAAAAGATTTGTGTTTGTTATGTCTTTATCTAAAGAAAAAATCATGTCAGTCGATGTATTGTGATCTGAATTTTCTAACTCTCGTGCATCAGTATGAACCTGTATCAGTATCAACAGGCTCTATTCCAAACCCACAGGATGTTTTGATAACAAAGCGTTGTTGTTTCACCAACCGTCGGAGATGTTTTTAGGCTGCAGTTTGTGTTGTTGTACGGATTTGCTTTCGATTCCATTGTTTGCTTTGTCCACTGCTTGTATTATTAATGTATTGTCAGTCATCTGGCTTTTTGTCTGAGCAGTTAAACATTGTCTGCAGTTAGGAATCAAGGAGAATAATGATTTCTGCGGTGCAGCTGACAATGCCATTTGTAATATTAATAAGGGCATTAGTTCTGCTGTTTAGGATCATAGCTGTGCACCGGGTAACTCCCTCAACAGGGTTCCATTATAAAATAATCCTTGTCTATATTTACAAAGATGCAAGCTGAATATTCAGTTACAACAGCTCTGTCAGGGAAGACGAAGAAACACCAGCACATATTTAGTTAATCTTGTCTTTTCAGGACCATCACTGCTCCTGCGTCACTTCCTATGGTCCTGACATCTTCCGGCTCTCTTCAGTCTGTTCCCCTCACCACTGTTCTGGCCAACGGGGACTCCAACCACTCCCCCTCTCCCCAGGTTATTCTCCACACCATGCCCTCCACCACAGCAGGTGGTAAAGATGTGCTCACCATCCAAACGGCCTCTTTAGCAGGTGGAGCCAATAGCCTGCAGGATGGCCTCCCGCAGCAGCTCCTGGTCACCAGTCTGGGCTCCTCCACTGTCTCCTCCTCCACCACTTCCTCCTGCACTTCCCCTCCAGGAGTCATTAGTTCCACCGCTTCCAACCTCAACAGTCTCCCCCGCCTGGTCGCCATCAACACCACCTGCGGCCAGACCATGGTGGCACAGCAGCCCGGCACCGTAATTGCCACCGTGCTCAAATCCAGCGATCTCTCAGGGCTGCAGGTCAAAGAGGAGTTGCTGGACCCCAGCTACTTCCAGTCGATGGTGAACGGTGATCCATCACTGACGGCACATACGTTTGAGAAGGAAGAAATGGAGGTAGGGGAGGCAGAGCTGCAGTATAGGACTGTGATTATTGATACCAGTCAAAGTCAGGGCCAGGAGCCTGCAAGTGAAACTATAATTAATGGACATTCCTCCCAGAGTAGCAGCCCTGGTGAGGGCCTGACTCCTGTGGAGGAACTGGAAGTGCGTGGGGAGATGTCCCTGCAGCCGGAGCAGGGAATCAAAGGCCTGCAGGAGCTGCCGCTGTCTGTCCAGCTGCCTGCAAACTTTATCCAGATAAAGACAGAGCCTGCAGAGGCCTAGACTCTCTTGCGCACAAGCTGAACCAAAAACAACAATTCTATCCATTTTGCCCACAGACTTGATGTTTTCTTTTCTTACCACAGTGATCTGATCAGAAGCGAGGGATCTTGCAGCGTTATGCTCTTAAAGGTTGCTCAGGTCAGCCTCAGGATTTATTGTTTACTCACATATTTTGTGACCATGTGCCTAATTTTAAAAATCAAAGTTTAGTGTTGAGTTTTTTTCTAAGAAACTTCAGATTAGAGATTATAATCTGTAGACATGAACCCCAACACACACAGATACAGATACACTTAAACAGAGACACGGATATCACTCACATTCACACAAACCACCCCCCCCTCCCTCCCCAGGAGAACAGCCATCGGATAAACCAGGGATTCTGTCTACCAAATGTGCCAGTTAGTAGTTTTCTTACTTTACATCTCACTGGACTTGTATGTTTAAAGAGGAGAATGCAACGGACCAAAACCGGGGGACTGAATGCCAAATGGTGCAATGATATCAGACTTCTGAGAGCATGCAGAGTGACTGTGGGTGTTTTTTGTTCCCATGGATGACAGGTGGATGTTGTGTCATGGTGTCCAATGTGGAGAAAAAAACACACACCTCAGAGTTTAATGAAGAGTGCCTTACAGGAAGTTCAAACAGCTCAAGACTCTTTCTTGGAAACGTTGGGGGGAAAAAGATGAAAAACGGACTAAATGGCTTTTCAGACTGTCAGACTTTTAAGAACTTATTACTCATTTATTTTCATATAAACAAAAGGTATGCATTTGCTCTCTATTACTCCTAGCCTTAAAACACTGTGTTACTATGGAAATGGGCATTTTCTGTCCACCAAGGACAGTCCAACATCAACTATTTGTATAGAGCTGCAGACTGGAGGCACAGTAAGATTGAAAGGCAAAAATGGAGAGAAAGAGAGAGTACGCAGGATAAAATAGATTTTATCAGCCTCTTCTTCAGAGGCTCCAACCTTTTAAACCCTGTTTATATGAAATGGAATATATATGAATATATATATACATATATATATACATATAATATACAATTGAGATTCAATTTTAAGGCCGCAGCGAATTTATTTATTTTGTGAATTTCTAAATTCTGTATAAAAATGACACATTTGTCTTCTATTTACATGTGTAAACATGAGGGAAAATACAAAGAATATGAACGTTAATACAAGGATGCATATTTGTTTGTTTTTTTGTTTTTTTTTGTTTGTTTTTTTTTTGTAAGACCAACTTTTATCATTTGTATAGCTTTCCATATAATCAACTTTGCTGTTTTCTTGATTTTTGGACCCCAGTGCTCAATGCATCATCATTATTTCACTGTTATATTCTCTTATTGTAGATAGCCTCTGTTGTGTTTCTGATTTAAACATGTTCTGAATGTGCTTTTTGTTTCCCCCTGTCAGCGGACATACCTCTTTACCCTTTTCAACAGTCGAGCAGTCGAGGCTACGCATTTACAAACATGATGTTCTGTTTAATTCATAAAGTGTCAGATGTATCAATCAATATGTCTTTGAAATCATATCTGAAGTGTCTAGTTATTTGGTACAAAGACATACGAGTGCTGTTCTTTTCTCATTTCATCTTTTCTCTTCCTCTCCTCACCTCTCCCTTCATCTCCTCGGCTCTTGTCTCTTCTCTCCTCTCTTGTCTCGTTTCCTCCCCTTTCATCGTACCTCCTCTCCTCTCTCGTGTGTTCTTGTCTCCTTTCTTCTCTCCTCCTCCTCTGCTGCTCTCGGGTCAGTCGAGTCTGTGCCTTCTTTATTTGCTGTCCCATTTTGTTAAGGACACCCCAGGCCAGCCAGCCAGGCCATCCGATTGGCCCCCTCGGCCCTGCTGGGGATGAAGCCATATTGATCCTGAGTGGTATCAAAGCTAAATTGGTTGTATTTTCCACCCGGACTGTAGCTGCAGAGTGAGGACATTCAGACACACTGACCTCCATCTGCACTGGCACCGAAGGACAGGAGTTAAATGCTGCTTCACAACCCCACATCAGCCAAAGGGCTCTGATTCTGCAAAGACACTCTGAATGTATACTTATTTTTTGACAATCAATAATTACACTGGGTTACATTTGCATTGAAATCTGTCAATCCTTGAGAGGGAATCTGCTGCTTTTTTTTTCTTATACATTCTTATATCTGCCCTGCCTTTTCCTTAAATCACTGTTGTCTATGAGATGTTGAGGTATGTCCACTGCTCATGTTTTGTTGCTTCTTTTGTCTCGGGTTGTCAATGGCCTCCCTTATGCTAAATTGCTAAATATAGAATAGATTTTTAAGAAAAAGTCAATGTACTAATTAAAAACAAAATCTTCACTGAAGACCTTCTTTATTTGTTGTTTTGTTGCAGATAAAGTGGTTTTGAAATTGTGTGAGGATAACAGACAAAATGCCATAGAAGACATTTTGGAAAAATTAAATGTCAATTTAAATAGAAAGAAATTAAGTCAATTAATTTCTACTGTCGCAATAATGAAACCATTGTGTCGTGTTGTTGAGCTGTTGCGGCTCTGGGAGACATTCGACCACATGGCATCTGAAGAGAGAGAAAAAGTAGGAAACTGGAATGAAGCCACTATCAGGCCAGAGACTGATTGGACTGTACTTAAGAGCAGTGCTTCTCCAGTTGCTGTGGGTGGATGAATACATGTGACATCCACCAGAACTGACTGACTGACTACGGCCGAGTTTGTCGCCACAGCTCGCTGGGAGACAAGAGTATGTGCGTATGTTTAGGCAGCGGTTGGCGAGTGGAAGGGTTAGGCTGCCCTTGGATTGGTTCTGTTAAAGCATATGTTATGTTGATGTGTGTGTGTGTGTGTGCGCGCTGGGGGTGGGTGCACTGGCTTGGATTGACTGTGTGTGTGTGTGTGTGTGTGTGTTTCTGTGTTCAGGGTCAAGGAGTGGGGTGGTGGTGTTGAGGAAGCTGTCTGGCAGCAGGGCTTGCCTACTGTGCCTAGTTCTGTCTACACCCACACACTGCACAGCTGTGTACCACACACTTGCCATAGGTTTCATACACACGCACGCACGCATGCACACACGCATGCACACACAGAAAAACCAGGCATAAGCGCACCCACAACCAGCACTCAAACTTTCTTCACTCCAGCAAATATCTTCCTGAGCCTTTTGCAGATGGGAAAATGGTTTGAATTGAGTCTGAAATCATTGCACAAGCCTCTCATTCAGCAACACACAATCCTCCATTACATCTAAACAGACCCTTAGCTTTTCTGTTCAGCGGTTCATCGATCGGCTGCCATATGGTAAGCGCAGGTTGTTATGGATTACTAAAATAATGAAAGGCTACTAACAGCTGTTACGACTGTGCTATTCCTTTGGTTAGTGAGTCAGAGACCCTGAAGATGGAGCAGGAGCCGGGTCCTGGGAGAGCAGGACTATTTCTGTGTCGCCTGCAGCCACTGACACAGCGCGAGTGTTTACTGCTGTGCCATGCTGCCTCTCACAGTGGGAGCAGTTGAAGGATGACGGCTGACATTATTGTGCCTCCAGCCTGTAGCAGGAACAGTACAGGGAGAGCTTATTTAACCATCAGGTCACCAGACTGACTGCAACATTACAGAGAAAAGGGAGTTGATAACTGCAGTCTCATGGCCATTGCAGCTTTATGCTGGATGTTAACTTGACAACCTGCAGCCAAGGTTACATTTAAATAGACCACTTTAAAATTTGCTGTCTTTCTGAAAGATTCAAAAGTAAATGCATTTAAGGACAGAGGGTGTAGAGTGGTTTTAAAATGTAAAAAGAATGGTGACAAAAGAACGTCTGGTTTGATATTGCAGCAGTACACCTCTCTACACACAAGATGGCACTGGTAATACACGTGTCCTCAGCTGAGCCTCAGCCTCAGTCTGGGTTGCAGAGAACTATTTCTTCAGGTCACTAATCTAAATACAGACACTCCTCATACATTGGTTTTCACTCTCCTCTGCCCCAGAATAGCAACTCATGGATCTAAATGAAATAGCGATTATTTGAAATGAAAATAAGCAGCTGGGAGTGAAGTTTCCTTGTATTTTTGTTAAGTAACAAATGGAATTAATTCACTTGTGAGCAGTGATAGCGGCCATTCCTCAGGCCAGGTAGGCGAAATCCTTTGGACTGCGCTAACCTGGTTGATGCTCTGTATCTCTGTTTATCCTGCAGAGCAGTCGATCTTGTTTCCTCTCATCGTCAAAACAGTGATAAACAAACAAGTGCTGGAGGGGGAGTTTCCTAGACAGTGTAAAATGCATGAGAAAGATTGTGCAGGGCTTCATTTGAAATGATATATTCCTTCATTCTGTCTACAAGGGAGGGGCTCAGTCACAGACTCAGATGTGCTTCATATCTAATGTAGACAGTATTGAACCGCTTCATACATGGTAGGAATGCAAATGAATCTCTTCTTATGTGGATGTATGGGTTTTAAAAAGCCATGCATCAATAATGAGAGATCCTGTATTTTTGAGTAGTTCAGGGTTTTGCATTTTCAGAAGAAGAAAAAAAAAAAATTCCCTGACTTGGTCTTGTTTTCCTATCCTCTCCACATGTTTGCAGCAGCCTTTAAGTTCAAACACTAAAGATTCTTTAAATCAGCTAATTTGCTAAACATCACATTATTTACATCAGAAGATGCTGAATATTTAAAAAGAAACCCATGAATATTGTATGCCAAAAACTGTAGATTTTTTTCCTGTAGATTAGTCCCAACTTGTTTCCTCAAGATGCGTTCAATGACCTGTAGATTTGTGTACCGGATACCAAGATGTGGATGCTCTTTTTTTTTTACCATGCAACAACCGGAGTGTGATCAATTTCTATTGTTGCTCTGACACATGTGCAGCTGCAGTGTCACCATCCAGCGTCTTTCTGGGTCTCCTCCATGATGATTTTTAATTGTGAGACGCCTCTACTTTTAAAGTTTGACTTTCATGGTTAATATTGGACTTCTGTCCCAACAGGCATGAGGAGCTCTCAGGGAGCCAGCTGTAATATCTGTATCAGCCTCTCCAGTCAGGGTGAGCCATCCCTTTTCAGAACGACTCTCAGGGCTTCCATGGCAATTTACTCTCACGACTACACAAGAGTCCTCAGAGTCCGCAGAGACTTCGCCAGATAGACAACTAACAACTAACAGCATCTTACGAAAAAATAACACTTTATACAATTTCCCGACGTTGTGAGTGCGGAGGCTCAACAACAACAGCAGCTGAATGCATTCTTTTTAATAAACACTCAATGATTTGATGCGATAAGCGGGAAAATAGTGGGAAATGAATTATATAAACTCTGATTTTATGAACTTTTTAGAACAGCCTCAGGGGCTTTGCAGTACACTTGTCAGTTTATTTGAAGTATGTTTGCAATTATTGCATTTGTTAACTCATGCCACTATTTTTTACTTGACATGTTGCTTTAGGCCATTGACATTATTGATTTAAAAATAAGATGGTTGCAGTCTGAACTCCATTTATGAACATATCCATAAAACATTTACATACAGTAATATGTTTCCCCTTCTTTTTCACAAAATCCATTTCGCTGCCAAATATTACTGATATTACTGACATTACTATCACACTGAGCCAACATGAGTCAACGTCCAGATTTACATAGCAGGCATGATACTTTCATATCACCGTAAACAAAGATTTATTATGCATTAGATACTTAAGACAGCCTCAGGTTATTAAATGGAAACAATGAAAGCCTATATATCTTTTCCTTGTCAAGACTCTTTTTAATTTGATACTAAATGTTTCTGCTAATGAGCAATGGGACTAATGGAGAATAGAGAAGATCTGTCTATTCATTGCGTGAGTCAGATTCAAACATTTCACACTAACACCCTGGGGCGTTAAGTTTCTCTCAAGGAAATGTTATTGTTTTGTATGATAGGACAACTGAGATTATTCATACAATGAAATTTTAATTGGAAAAAAATCAGGAAAGAGAAAGAAAACACAAGACTTCAAAGCAAAGTGTGACAGGAGCGCTCCATTTTTGTCTCTCTGTTTAACTTCTGAATATCTCGCATAGCTCGAATACTCTCGGGCATTTATGCACCTTGTTATTCTGATGACAGAACATCAATTACAAATGCCTATCGCGCTTGCTTATCTGTTAGTTACAGATGAGAGTTGTTTCAGCTCGACAGATTGAAATGTGGTGTTACAGATTAAAATCGCCTCGGCAGAGGAGAGTCTGTTTGAACTGGAGCACTATTTAAAGCGTTCTGTGGACTGCAACAACAGTGAACACAATGGAGGATAACACAACAGTGAGTGCATCACAAAAGCCAGCTGAGGTCTGTGCATCTTTAATTATACTGTACCTCCTTAGTTTGACATGATACCAAAAACTGAGAATAATTCTTATAATACAAGCTTCAGCAAGTTACTATTATTATCTGTTTTTTTCTTTGTCTTGTTTTTTTTTGCCTGTTTTCCTGGTTTTGTCTTGAAGTTGCATATAGCTTTCTTCTAGTGTGTATGTGTAATATCATATTTCATATCTGATGTCTCATGGTGTCGTAGTTTATTTTAGTTTTGGGTGAGCATCAAGGAAGGGCTGTGTGACTTAAGCAAATTTGTATATTGTGTCACTGTGACACTTATAGGGACAGGTTTGTCTGATACTTATATAAGCAAGAAAAACAAAACACTACAGTACATGAAGAACAATTCCTTTGAACCTATAAAGTAGAATAAATGAAGCACAACAAAGTAAGGACAGACAGTACTCAAGTATTTTTTTTTTTCTTAGGGCACATTAGTTTCTGGTGACATCTTTCAAACTAAATTGCACCAATTTAACAGGGTCAAATAGCAAGAAAACCAAACAGGTGGATAAGCAAAGAAAATTAAACAGTTGTAAATGATTAGTGACTTTTAAGAAACAATCTCAACACTTTAAATGCCATTTAGACTGTTTAGAATGGCTAATACTCAATGGGCTGAATTGGATAATAATTATGTGTGTAATTGGCTGCTTTGGTCTCACACCGGGTCTGGAATATTTATCAAAAGGAGAATTTGCACCTACAACGACATCAACAGTTTGAATCCCAGACAGACGCACACTGTCCTCAGATCCTCCCCAGCATACGGGCGATCCACCAGTTGCATGGCATGACGACCTGACAGATGACCCGGCCTCCTTGGTAGTAGTATGGCCACGGGTTGAAGCCACCCAGGGGCTCGAAGTAGCGACGGCAGAAGCGGTAACCACGGCGACAGTGCTGGCAGCAGTAGCCGCGGTCATCCAGACGGTTATCCAGCTCAATTCCAACGTCTCTCTGCAGAGGACACAGGAGTGGGCAGGCGTTACAATCGCACACATGACAAATGTCAGTCCTCCCAAGGCAAGGGCAGGAGACGAGGAGGAGGAGGAAGAGGAGCGGACGGCGTGAATTGATGAGCCTGCTTTGGCTGTAGGTCAGCAGAATATATGTAAAACCCAAACAAGAGTGAAAAAATCAGGAGTGATGATGAAAATGCAAAGTTGTGTCCTGCATGATGACTGTGGCAAAGAGATCAAGATAGCGTTGAGAATGAGCGAGCTTGATTTAAGCTCCAGGAGCATAAAACATGATATAATACCCTTGACCTTTCTATTATACCGGAGGTAGCACGACTGCTGGCTGCACAGTGCGCCATCTCTGAATCCAGCATTCACAGCCTCTCCTCCAGAGCTGTCTTCAATCAAAGAAACTCTAACGTTGGTAGTTACCAGCATAATTACACTATTTCTTTCATCTCTGACCTCTTAACTCCCTCGACCGAAGCCCACACTCTGCACCAAAATGGCTGCCCCTCCTCCAATAGAGCATTCAAATTACAGCTCCCCACGTCTTGGCGCCCTCCTCCTGACCTTGACTTTAAGTGCATGGCACATTCCTAAAGCAATTAGCAGAGTAATGATCGCCTAACAAGGATTCTTTCATTTGCTCTTGCTGGCTGCCTCTGAATTTATAGAGGGGCCAAATGAAACCCAAACGAAAGGTAAATTGGGTAGAATTAATGGCCCTTGGATTTTTCCATTGTGCTGGCTGGTTCATGCCCTCGTAGACTCACGGGGGCTGAGTGCCATGCCTTTGATCAAGAGCAACTCCAAATGGGGTTCGGAGAAGTGCCACTTAACTCACCGCGCGAGTTGAGGCAGCAACTGCCCTCAGTATGCATTTGACCACATTTCAATCTCTTTTAGTAAATGAATCCTCGGAGACAATCCTGCGCTGTCTCGTTAAACTGCTCGGATCCAGGAGACGACGGCCTGCGCTGACTTCACATTCAGAACAAACTGGCATAATTCTCTGCAAGCGCTTACAATAACTGAGCTACATGCAACAGTGCAGAACAAAACACATCCACTGTTGGGAGTAGAAAATGTGCGGGAATTGTTTAAGGAATTGTTTAAGGACAGGACCCACAGGAACACATGGCTGAGCCCCTCTAGTCCCCTGCTACATTTAGTATGGGAATTAGGGGTTTTCTTCCATCTACTGTATAAGTCAGTGCAGTCAATTACAGTGGTTTTACACACACTTTATTTTAATCCATCAAGCATGACTTATAAAAAAGTAACCCATGCATTTGATGTTATGATAAATTGAGTAAAATTACACACTCATGAGACATACTTATAACACATAGAAAGGGTGGGACAGATGATATCTAGGATAGCTGGGTTTTGATTTATTACTATGACAAGCACAGGTAGGCTGCTAATGATTTATTGTTTCAGTCAAGTTTCAGGTCATCAGCTTCCAGGCAACAATCTGTTATGGAAACAACACGAAAGCTGTCAATGGACCAACGATAATCTTATCTGCTCCTCACAGCCCAAACTGGGATGTTACGAAATCTGGGGCTCCGGCTCGGAAAATGAAGGAAATATTTTATTCAAATGACGTCGTGTTTATCAAAACAAACAGCCAATGGGCAGCGTTGTACCTTAAAGACAATTAATCAGAGCTATCCTTTTAAAACGGAGGGTACATATTAATCACTCTGGCTTTGAGTTGCCGTCTCTAGTGGGATGCTGCAGTGATAAGAATGGTTCACCTTGGGAAATCTGAGGCAGTCACTCGCAAACAAGCAGCATTAATGAAGAGTAAAAGCCATTACCCCCGTGCTGCATCTGATTTCATCACACACTCAGGCTCACGTATACACATGCAAACACACAGTCGCCCACGCGCAGACACCTCCGTGCATAATATGAGGCGCTGGATATGAATGAGTCTGCAAAGTAGAAAACTGCATCAGTCATTCAATAAGATGTAACGAATCAAAGCACGACTCCTCTAATCTCCACACTTGTTGGTGTTATTTCACACACGCTGATCACCGCTTTTCATGAGCTTGAGCTCATGCCTGGATGTGTTATTAAATCTCATAGCAGAGCTCATCACATTCATTCTGGCATCCAAACAGTAGCGATAACATTTCTGTTTCATACCCTGCTTTGTATTCAGAAAAGGGGTTTTCCATGTAGACACACAGGCCAGTGTAACATATGAAATGCTTTGCTGCATGTCCTGATCTCAGATTTTCATCTCACTGTGCTCTGCAGTGAGCTGGAATGACAATGAAATTGGATGTAATTGAATAAGGAGATAGTCATGTATTTCAGTAAACTCTGCTGGTTTACCAAAGTGATAAGGAGCTTTAGCTTCAGTGTAGAGATTCCTCTGGAGGCACCAACAGCTCGTGCGTTCAAAGATTTGAATTCCTTCAGCTTTTTGCACCTCTGTTATGCATGAACAGCCACCTAGCCTGACCCTGAACATGTCTCTCAGAGGTTTGTGAGGATGGTCCAAGTTTAACACACAATACAAACACTTGTGTGCAGGCAGAAGCACACACCAAACACGTTTACATGTGTATGTGTGCGAGGTCGATTCATTCTGGAAGTCTATCCATGCTGTATGGGTCAAGGACAGTGGTACCATCCTTTCAGCCTTGTCAGATGGTAGTTATTCAGTTTAAAATTTCCAGGGCCACCTCTGACACGACAGCTGTGGCAAAGGTCAGCTTCATATATCTGTCAGCATTTATTCTGTCAGCGAGTATTCTGCTTTACATGTGTGCGTCGTATGGAAAGGTGCGACTGAAATTCAGACTTATGAAATGCAGATGAAGTGAATGCATATTTTTAATGTGTCTACGTGTGTGTGTGAGTATGATAGATGAAAGGATGTAGGCAGACAGAGAAATAGTGTGATTAGCAGACTGTGTATGATTTGTGTCTGCGTGCACATTTACATGAGCTCTGGATGAAGCAAAAAAGAAAAAAGAAGGTTTGGCTAACACATGTGGCATCCTACTGGCATGAGCAAGAGTTCAGACTCCCAATTACAGGCTGCTGCCTGCCCTCTGCTTGGCCACAAAAGCCTTTGTTATCACCGGACCCACAAACAGAGCCTGGATGTGCTGCTGGAATGGATTGCAGTGGTATGCATTACTCAGCTGATAGAGGCAGAGCGTTTCAAAAGGAGAGCCGAGTTTTTCATCCCCTGGTATGTTTTAATTGCATTGCGCTGCATCTCCTGCCGCAGACGATGAGGGAGAAGACAGAGGAGCTGAGGGGAAATTGAAGAGTTGAGCGGGAGGTGTTTCTGGGACGTGCCTGATAAATGTCAACATTATAGGACGTCTCATTTCTCTGCATGTCTCCCACCGTTTGTCACAGCTCTGAGGAACAGACCGAGCCTGACTCATTATCCTTGAATTTAGCTTTAGTGGCTATTCACCTGTAAGTGCTGAATGTGTGTGTGTGTGCGTGTGTGCGTGTGTGTGGGATGTCTTTGCACCTGTGCATGTTCCTGGTATCTTTAGTGTGCAACTGCTGCTTTTCTGTATGGTTATGAGTGCATAACTCCCGTGTAATATACTGCTTTATGTGATTTTCCCTCAGTCTCAGGGATAATTAATCATACAATATTGAGTGGTTTACATGCAGTACACCAAAATATGCCACCAGGCCTTTCCATTCATTTCATATGCTTTGATAATTATAGCATTATATATAAATGTAACTTATCTGTGCAGCAATGAGTGACCTTGAGAGTGTGCCTTTGTACAGTGCTTTCCACTGCCTTAGAAAAAAGGAAGTGAAAAAGGCACTAACGGGAGCTGTGAGGCACAAGTTGCTGCCTTTGAAAGGCTGGATATTCCTCTCAATTAATGGAGAGACATTAAGGGAGTCTTCAATGAACTGGCCTTACTTAAATAGATATATAGAGCAATTGCTATGCCCTCTGGTGCACAGAGTCAGTTTTAACATCAATTAGTGAGCGATTTATATGCAGAAAGAGTCGTGGCAGAGCTGGAGCTGATTGAAGTCGCTCTACTGTATCTCATGGTGTGGTCCCCGGGTGACGCGGTGCAGAGGGTCCCACTTACATAGTCGTTGACGGCGACGTGGTCCTCGACGTCACGGGTGAAACGCTGACCTGTGACCTCTGCGTCGGGTGTGTCCACGTTTCCCTCCTCCGCATCTGAACACACAGAGAGGAGATGTTTATGTACTTACGACTGTTTTTCTGTTGTTTGATGTAAAATGAGAAAGCTCTTAGATTAAATTTTGGCTTGTACATTCTATTTTCCCAGTGGCTTGATGCTAATTACTACCATTCAGGAGGAATACTGAATTCAGTCCAAGCTTTTTCATGCCTCTGTCAAAGAATGGAGTTGTTGCTGTTGTGATACTTACACACAAATCATTTTCCACAGATCCTAATTAGTAAAGCCTACAAGTCATTTTGAGAAAGAATGAATGACTGAATCTAACTAAGCACATTTGCTCAAGTACTGTATTTAAGTACAATTTTTAACAACTTACTTTACCTGAAACTGAGATATGCCTCTACCCACTTCATGTCAGAGAGAAACATTTTACTTTTTATTCCACTACATTTATCTGATGACTGGAGTAGATTAACATTTCATATATTGCACGCACTGCAAGAATCTTCATCTTAGCAAGACATTTTATATTATTTAAACCTAAAAGTGTTATTTTTTTCTTAAAGCACGTGAAAAACACTGACAACTCAACGTCGTTCTTGGTTCTAAAGCCCAACACTTATCATCATCTTTTAAGTTGATATGAATAACTTATCAGCAAACAGTCTTTTATTCACACATCCAGCAGCTATGTAGCAACATTATCATCCATCATGTGTCTAAACACCTGGTGAATGGGAGTCTAATCTTCACTTTGTTTTAGCTCTTGTTTTGGTCTCTACCAGCTCCTGAGGGAAACGTCTGGCTCTTAAGCTGTTAAATGCTCCACTATGTTCACCAGCTGACTGTGTCTGTCTGCTGTTTGGTGCTATGCAGGCAGTGCACAGTGGGTTTTTACAGGGTTTTTTTTTTTTTTTTTGCTGAAAACAGCTGCCTAGTGCAGCCAAAAGTGATGCTATGAAATCATTGAGTGAACAAAGCATTAAAGTTGCAGGCCCGACAGCTAAACAGTGGGCTGAAACTGACTATAAAGCTCCATAAAGCTGAGGGGAGCTGTAGATTCAGGTGATAATTCTCTGTAGGTTCATCACTATGAGTGACCTCTTTCACCCGGTTTTTACATGTGAGACACTATGACTATAAAAATTATCAATTGCAGCTGCTTTAAGAAATAGTTTGAATAGAGTCCCACTTACATACATTTAGGATTCAGTAGCTAATTAATTTATACTTAGTGTGGTGGATATTGTTTTGCAGTGCAAACAACAATATAATCATTATGTTAAGTAGTTAAAATCAACTCCACCTTAACTAGTTTACATGTTAATGAACTGGTGATAATAATGCAATTTACATTCTGAAAGAGGCTGTTTTGCAGTAACGCGTAGTTAACTATACTTTAAATACAATTTATTGATAATATTTCAGTGCTTTCACTGAAGTAAAATGTGAATGAAGTATTTTTACAATTAGTAATAAAAGTACAAATATTGATACTTCTACCCACGTAAATGATCGTAATGCTTCTTGCACCACTGACCATCAGTCTCTCAACTTTCCAGACACGCAGAGGGTAGCCTGGGCTGGATGCTCATATGGTTTGGAAAATGATGCAACCTCTAAGGACCTACATATGGCCAGTGGGGGATGCCCTCCAGTGAGAGAGTTAATAGTCTGCATTTAGAGGCATTGATGCCCCCTGCTCTCACCACTCAGGGGGGAGGGATGAATCCAGTGGATGGGCAGCTCCTGGCAAATCTCCCAGATCTTGGAGTCAAGGAGGAAGGCTGGATTAACGATGGGCTCCTCCGCAGGAATCCACACTTGGGAGTCCTCCACCTTCATGTCCATGGCCTCAGTCTCATCCACCTGCTAGAAAACACCACACACACACACACACACACACACACACACACACACACACACACACACACACACACACACACACACACACACACACACACACACAAACACACATTATGCACACAAACACACATTATGCACACAAACACACATTATGCACACATATAATATAGCATGTCAGAGCTTGCTAAGATGCCCAGCCCCCACACAAAGTACAGTCTTGCATTTGCACTCTCCTCCCTTGAGCCACGCAGCAGCTCCTGCCTCATCGTTTTATCTATCACCTTCCTGTGAGAGGGCGGCAACTTCCTGACTCCCACTGCCCTGACTCCCTCTTCTTTCTCTCTCTCACCCTCTTCTCAAGCCTCCGGCATGCTCTTTCTATTATACTTCATTGAAATTCACAGACAGTGATGATTTGACTTTTAAATGACTTTAGAAGTGGTCTTCATTACTCTGAATGTGGCTGCAATATCATTTAATGTGACAGACACAATAAAGCCTTGCATTCTCCTCCCTCCTCTCCCCTTCACACCCCCAACCCCCCACCCCCCACTCTTCCCTCCCCCTCCACCACAATGCTTCACTTGGCAGCCAGCACTATCAGTGAGCTTAATTTGTTGATACTGTAGTTCATGAGCTGTAAAGTAAACTATTATTGCTTAATGATAGGGACTACATGTCAGTGTTGTCTAATAGAGACATATGAAGGGGATTTGGTAATGCTCTCCCCTAACAGTGCAGATATTTATTTTCTTCATGTATATGTAAATACACACACAAACAAACCCCTCTTCCCATTCCCTTGTTAATTAGCAACCCAGAACAGAAAAACAGTTCACTTGACAAATGTTTTTACAAGGTGATTTTCTCCCAGCCTAAAGCTTAATTGCACATTAGTTAAGCTTGACGTAGATTCCTGGGGCTATAGTAGGAGCAAGAATCATTAATATTGGGTTGCGCCCCCTCCCTCCCGTTCACCCCTGTCACTCTCGCTTGAATTAGAATTTCGCTTTCTGTGCTGCTTCTTGTTTGTCATCGAGCGACACAGTTGTGACCTGCAGAGAAGAAAAAAAAAAAAAAAAGACTTAAGCACATTCTGTCACATCAAAGCTTGTGTTTGGGCGCGGCAGGTGTTTAGCCCTAGCTTTTGACACACTTTCCCTCACTTTTAAGAGCCGGCCAGTTGACTAATGATGACTCGGAGGACTGTTGTAGTGGGGTGGTGGTGCTGCAGCGGGTGGGGTACTCTGACATTGAGCTGGCACGCTCACCGTTCCCGTGGTTGCAGAAATTAAAATCAAACTTGAGGAACACAAACAGCACTCTCTAATTGGACATCTTAACCACTGAAGCCAAGTGAGTCTTCTCCGGAAAGTAAATGGAGGTCACGACATGGGGCTCACAACATGACTTTGACTTCACAGTTGAGAAACGACTCCAATAACTTGTAGGAGAGAGCGCCTGGGGGGAAGTGGTAAAGGTCAGGAATTTAGCATGGGGTGGGGATTTCTAAATGCCAGTTGACAAGCACAAAGACAACATGATTACAGTCTTCCAGTTTATACACTCTTTTGAAAGGCTTTTCCATTTAGCTATTGACAAATGATATATCATTATGATATATTACAAGCATCTTTTTTTTTTTTTTATCAAGTATTGGACTTTGGGAATGATGGTAATTTGTTTTGTGTGGCCTGCTCCTGGTGTGTGTAGCTTTGCGCCTACAGTGTACCACTTAATTATACACCAGTTGTGTTGTAGTTAATGAATTTACCCTCTCCCGCCACTGTGTCCCAAGGGGGGGAAACACTGTCTACATGACACATTGCTGGAAGTGGTGTTATGTTTGCCACAGATCAACAAAGATTTTCTCATGATACCCTAGAGCTTTCACAAAGTGCGCATAACACTGGCGGGGGGGTGGGGGGGTGGGTGAGGGGGGGTAGGGGTGGGGTTGTTATTATGCGGTGCAGTAAATTTTAGTTAACACCCATATTCAAGTGACTTTCAATGAGAGTGCTGTTACTTGCTCAGGGGCACTAAAGGCCTGGTCATAACAACGTTTACAACAGTGAAACTTCACGGCAGAAATCAATTCATCTCAATGGAATTATAAATGGATTTGCTAGTGGGGACAAATCTGTGCAAATTTCGTCAGCCCAACTTTGATATGCAAATTTGCATTGAGAAATAGCAAACTGTCTTGATCGTGCTGACCTTTGAGGGAACAGACAGCTAGACAGGCTAAAATGGAGGAAGCTATCGTAGCTTATTAGTTGTGTTGCACTGTCCTTTCAGAGTATAAACTGCTCTGCCCAAGCAGAAGGATCATTTAAGGAAACTTATGAGACAGGACTGTTGTCTGATTGTCCACATTCATCAAATGGCTCAATACAGAGAAAGCAGAAAGAATCCCAGACAGCTGTTGTGACTGATTAGCATTAGTGTGGGTAGCAGGTTAGCGGTTATCTCACCAGTTGCAGTAGTTTACAAACTAGCCATGCAAGTATTCACTACCATACAAAACTTTTGAAACCACATATTTTGCATAGACGTGTGGATGATTTTCACTGTGCTACTTTCTGATGTGACCAGGCCTTATGACTGAATACATCAGCTACCAGAGAAACTGAAAACTTTCATTTCATGTTGCAGAATAGTCACCCTATCACTGACTTAGCTCATATCTTGATTGAGACAAATATGAGCTAAAACAAACCATGCTGTGTTCTTGCAGGACTTTGGTGTATACACATCCCCTGCTGTGATGTTGTTCCTCAGTGCACAGTTTTTCCGTTTGCAGTTGTTGTCTGAGTGGGAGGTTTTTGGTTGCTGGGTGAGCTTTGGTCATCCATATTAAGTGGCTGTTTAATGGAGCAAGCAGCATCCATTGACAATGTTAAGGGGTGTGAGGGAGGCGGATGGCGATTTCCATGTCAGAGTGGGGGAACTGGAATGAAGCTCTGGGATTACTCCCTCAGACGTTTCATAGAGGAGGCAAATTGAAAAGGGAGGAAAAAATCCTGGCAAACAAATCATGTTCGTCACCTGGTTCTCCCTCACAGGGGCTGCATTTCCTTATCAGCCGCTTGCAGTTTTTCCGCAGTTTTTTCCATTGTTTTTCACCTCGCCTCTAAAGCCTGCCACGGCTGCTCTGAGCCCTCGCTCCTAAAAGCCTGCAGCTGGGTTAAGCTAGGACCCATTAACATTTGGCTTTAACCCCTGTGAGCTTCATGTGTTTCACCACCCCAGGATGAACTTGTGCTGATCTTCTCCAGGGTCACACGTGGGTGGATTTTCACAGAGGATGGATGCTCTAATGTGAGGACAGACCTTGGTGAGGTCAGACCAAGGTCACTGTTTATTACCTAAATATGGCCTCTCTGATATTTACTATATTTCTCTTGTCTTCTCTGTTTTTGTGGTGAAAACATCCTCTGCAGCAATATTAGCAGCAGTACACAGTGGGAGTAAAAAAAAGAAGTAATGCCAAAAATAAACTTCCTGGCAGAGGGGAGTATAGGGAGATATGTGGTATTTGTATGGTATTTTGAAAACATGATCTGAGTAATTGGTTCGACATTTTGTGAAATACATGTATTTGCTTTCTTGCGGAGATTTAGATGAGAAGATGAATCCCACTGTGTCATGTCTATCAACAGATGGTGGTCCTATGCACACCTATAAGCTTGTTATTCTTCCTGCAGCCGGAACAATATAAGCAGATATTCCAGTGCTTTCTAGGAATATCTACATCATCTTCTCTCTCATTAGTCCGCTCATACATCATCACAAATTTGTGAACAAAATCTGTTTCATATTGTGGCTTTGTGGTGTCTTGGGGTCATCACTATGAAGTAGGAAGGCAAATTACTGTGCCCTGCCAAAAATAACCCAGTAACCCACCGTAAGACCACAATGTGTTGTTTAATCAAATATGGTTTTTGTATGGAGTAAACAAATGAAATATACCATATTAATTAGTAAGCTTTAGTGGTGCTGGTAAACAGATTTTTCTCATCTGACTCTCGCCAAGAAAGGAAATAAATATATTAATAAGTAATAAATAACTATTCTAAAAAAGTGTAATATCATCCAAACTACATTTTCATCAGAATAATGAGGGGATGTTTTTAATGAGCATATCTCCAAAGTAGCAAAATGTATCTCCAAAACATTTATTTACACCATATATATATATACATATATATATATATATATATATATATATTTTTTTTTTTTGCAGTATAAAATCCACTTGTGGCAACAAAAGCATTATTACCAAAGTGCCTTTGTTGCCTAAACCTAATCACACACAATGTGAATCCTGATCCTCAGTATCAAAATCCAGCACCTTGTACCATCAACCTTTATTATCTTATTATCTGTTTTCCCACCTTCCTTAGTGTTTCATGTGTCTTCCCAGGCTGTCTATCTCCCTGTGTGTGTGTGTGTGTGTGTGTGTGTGTGTGTGTGTGTGTGTCTTCTGGGTGTGCTGATCCGGTCGTCCTCCTGCTCTCAGTCATCCCACGCGCCTGAAGCGGATCCAGTAATCAGCACCTGCAGCTCTTCACTCTTCAACAGATTGCTCCAGTCATCACTGTGGTAACGGCGCTATGGCCAAATTCTCCAAGTCTTGTGACTGATTTCTTTGTGGTGACCTGAACCTGAACCTGAACTCTGCCTTAGGTCCCCTGCATCAAGCCCTCTCTGTCTGTCCGCCTTGCCCGGCTCATCGTCCGTCTGTCGGTCCAGTTATTCCCAGTTCGCCCGCCTGCCCTGCTCCATCTACCACACCCTGGCCTCTCGATTTGGATTTTCCTGCCTACCCCGCTCCATCGTCCGTTCTGGTTCAACTCCTGACATCTTCACCTTTTTTAGTCTACAATCACTTTTTACCATCATGTCTCCAAGTTCTGCTTCTGAGTCCAAACTGCATTTAACATCACAGACTGTGGACAAAATTAAGACAGCAATTAAGCTTTCCCCAAAACGTACTTGAGATAACAAGTTAGTATGTAACTTCTAGGAGTTACCAAGTCTGACAGTTGACTCAAGGTTACTTGGTGTCCTGATGGTAGCAGAGAAACTTAATGTAAAACGTAGTTTAAAACACCCTTTGAATTAATATCTTCTAGAACATGGTGCATAGAGGTCTATTTTATTAATGGCGATTATAAATGGGCTCCTGTAACTACTGGTATGAGCTCCAAGGTATAAGCCTTGTATACGTCACTTAGACAATTCACTCTGGAGCTGTGAATAAAGCCAATTAGGCTTCACAGTGCACAAAAGAAGACAGAAATGGCATGGACATATGGTGCTGCCTGGGCAATTAGTATCTGTAAACGTGGATCAGACATTAAGAAGCTGAGAGAAAAAAAAAAAAAAGCAAAACTGCGTTTGGTTTTTGGGTGTAACAGCTTGTGTTCTTAAAGTTGAAACCGAGACTGGGTTTTGCTTGGACTGACAATTGGCTTATTCTGTTTTTAAAATGAAACAGTGAGCGGGGAGATATTTGCCAGCTACTTCTTCCCATCTACAATGTGAAATGTAAATGAGAGCATGCTAGCAGTAGAGACATTTGAGAAGGATTTTCTCTTTGAACATACGACTCACTCAGTGAATTACACTGTGACACTGAAAAATTGGGAATTTTTGATTGATTGAATTTCTTCCGCTCCTTTTGCTGAAGTTCACATACAACTGTAAGAACTCAGGAAAGTAAAATGAATCACTCTAAACTTGGAGAGGGAGCTTCGTGAATTTTACAAAGAAAACATCTTTTAAAAAATACCATTTTAATGGCTTACCTCTCACTCAGAGCTCTCTTGCACCCTTCCCCCTTTAGGCTATTTGGGTAGAGCCTTTGGAGGAGATGATTAAAAATTAATATTGGCTCAAGATTGACAGCAAACACTATTTGATGTGAGCCACAAAGAGGCTGTGGGTTTGTGGGCAGCTTTCTGACGGTTTCACAGGCACCACAAACCCCAGTTTATTCTTCAGTGAGAGGGGTAGGGGTGATAGGATAAGATGGACAGGCAGAGGATTTGTGTGGTGCTCACACTGCTCTACTCTGGTTATCTCCCTACAATATGCATGACAGCCTCTGTAGGACTACAGAGAGTCTGAGGTACAGACAGCTGAGGGAAGAGGCATACCAGTAACTCCGTGTCCTCAGCCTCCACCTCTGCCACCGTGGGTAGTTTCCTAGTTTGGGTCCTGATGTAGCACCTCTGATGTTTGGCAAAGCGGATCCCAGTGATTCCCTTTGAAAAAAGAAAAAGAAAATGAAGGGATACTCAGCAATTCAGATATATGTATCATTCATTAGCTTTCTGTGATGTGGATATCCCATAAGCACTGAGGCGATAGTTTTAAAACGCTCAGCTTTTTGCTCATAATCAAAGCTCTTAAAAAGTCAGAGAAGTTAAAACCTAATGAGTGAGAAGAGGTGTGTTTTGATCTTTTTTTTTTTCCATTTGGCATGGTATGAAGTTGATCAGTACTTGGCCCTTGCAACACAACTCATGCTTTCAAGCTGAATGGAAGTAAAAAGGCGGGGGTGTTCCATAGTGGCTGTTTAATACTTCATAGTAGGATATATCGCACAGGAGAGCCAAGTGACATTGTTGAGAATGAAGTGTTTTCTACAGAGAGTGCCCCCATTGAATTAGCCAGTCATAGGTCCCTGTCAGTCTCTTAATCTGCGCAGTCAAGTGTGGAGTCACTCTTCAGCTCCACTGATGATCCTCCACCATGTGGACTGTAGCTCTATTCACTCTGACACACGGAGCCTCAAAAGGCAAGAAAGATCTGTTAATTCTCTCTCGCTGCCATTCTATGTTAATCTAAGATATTCAGCCAGAATAAGTCTGAAAGACTTTCAGTAGATCAGATTGTATCCAATTTATTTTCTGCAGAGTAGAGCTGCTCATTCAGCACACTGTATTAGAACAGACGGCAGGATCTACATCTGCCACGGCTGCTTTAAAATTGTATCAACTGAAAATTGTATGAGTGGTAGCATGAAAATGGACTTGATTCAATCTAAATTTAATTACAGTAACACGGTGATTGCTATGACATCTCCTTTGAATCGGTTAACTTGACCATGTGGGTTCTTTTTCTACATTTTCTGTGGTGCTGTCAGTCTGAAAACCAGATGCCAGCCGCACAAGACATGATACAAAGTGAGGCCTGTCAGAATCTACCGCATGTAATTTCATCTGTGCGGAAAAAGGATGGGACAATAATAGTCTCAAGCACAAAAGCATAATGTTTATGCCGGGCTTGATTGTGATGAGTCTCAGTTTAATTTGGGTCTACTGTATTGGTGAGCTGTAGCAGAAGAGGAGAGGGCAATGTTGTGATGAGATACAATGATTACTGGGGTTGGTCAACCAGAAAATGAAGAAAGACACATTAACGCAGGGATAACAAATGGAAAAGCGATGTCATTTTAACAGACCATGTTGAAATATCCACTTGGCGTATCCGTGTGCAAGATGCTCATCTGCGTCTATTCAGGAGAATAAAGAACATGAAAGTGCATGCATCATTCAGCTCCTGTGAATAAAGAACTAAAGTCATGTAAGCATGTATTAGTTTGGTCGATGCCTTGATATCGCCATTATTTTCTGTATTTTAGTCTGACAACTCAGACTGGTTTGGTGTCTTGGCTCCAACCTCCCCGCTCCCTGCAGATATATTTACATACAGATACTGGGGGAGTGATGAGCAGATATCTTAACCCCCACCCCCTCAGCTGGAGCCTGCGGGTGGATGCTGAGGTGGGGGTATAGGGCTGAAAGAATAGCCAGCAATACTGATGCAGGGCAGTGGGGCATTGACAGACAAATGGGGAGATGGGAAAATTTTGAAGCTTAAATAGACCGCCAAATTGAGAAGTTGTGTTTGGTAGATGATTGTGGAGAGTGAGGCATGTCATGTGTACAGCGGTGCAGCTTGTGTTGACTGCCTGAACTTGTTCGCAGGCGTCGCTCCATTTAAGGGACATTTGTTACTCTAGAAATATCCAAAACCTACAATCCCAATATTTTTGGCTCAAATGACAATATACAATTTATTTAACTAGAACAGCTGAGAAAAATCAGAATCTGAATTTTTTCAAATTAAATACAATAAATGTTACATATTACCCATCATCATTATCATCATGGCTGTGTCTGTTTGTAATCTTGGGTCTAATGTACCTGCATTAAACTAAAATATAGAAATCTCATATTTTCAAGATTGTACACCTTTACTGTTAGTGAAGGTGATCACAATAAACCCCCAAAATCCAAGCAGGATGTTATGTTACTGTAGGCTATCCTCAACGTTAGCTGTAGTTTTCCTGCAGTCATGGATTTCAAAAAAGCTCCAAAGATTTTTAGATGGATGAACGCCGGAGGGGATTTTTGTAGTGTCCGTATAATTTACTCCGAAAAAAAGGATGCAGTACAGTGTTGAACAGAAGAAAGAAAGGTTAGATTTCTTTTTCAAATTCCCCTTTGACCATCACATCCTCATGGCTAAAGGCTATCTGAAAGGGAGAAAGCACTGACTACATAAGACACAAAAAAGTATAAACCTACAAAACAGCATTTGGTTTTAGTGACTGTCAAAGAAGCAGCCCTGCAGGCACACAGCTGGCGACCATCGTTAGATGTTGATATTTGGTTGAATGTAGGTTGTGACATCAGGTGACCAGAATTCATTGTCAGGACAACGTCCAGTGCCAAAGTCAATTTGACATAGAATACTGATGACAGCTGACATTGTTATTTGGTTTGATTATGTTGTGTTGTAAGTAACCAAAATCCAGTGTCTTCCAAATGTCTCATGCTAACGCCATCTTGACATAAAATACCAACATTCTAGTCAAAACCCAACGTCTGCTTAACGTCTCCTAAATTTCATAATGTCAGTTAGCCAATGTTGGATTTTGACATCAACCCGATTTGCATTTTCAACCAAAGTTTAACATTTTTTGTGGGGATTGTGGGAATTGTGACGAAATATATTCGTTTAAAAATGAATGTTAGACATAAATAGAAATCCGAATATTTTTGTCTGGAGATTACATAGTTTACACAGTTTTTCTTCCAAAGGTAGAACTAATCCCAATGTGCTTCTTTAAATGGATGACTGCGCTGCAGATTTTGCTTCCTGTGCGCCGGAATCAGCTTCCGGTGATTTTACACACACCTGCAGCGGCACCATGAACGCACCGCCGAAACGCTAGTAGCTAGCTCAGCTAGCTGTGCACTAAAACTCAACGGCTCAGACATCAAACGGTAACGGGAAAGATACGTGGCGGTAACAGTTTGGCTTGGTTGTAGAAAAAAAAGGGTTGATAAATGCACCCACCTTAAATAAAATGAGGAGGAGTTGGAGATACTTGAGGAAGCTTGTAGTTATTGTCGGGAGAGAAGACCTGAAGGAACACCTCAAGGGGCACCACACAGAAACTGAGGTGACGTTAAGATGTTAAATAATTTGAAAACTACTACTAAAGTCAGCGGTGTAACGTTACGTGTTAGTTTCTCACAACAACGGGGCATTTTTTTTTTTACTTTATTTACAGATGGGGGTTTAGCCATACTGAAAAGCCAGTAAACCAGCTAGCTAAGTTTTGTTAAACATGCTAATCCATGCTAAATCACACCCAACTTAGTTGACCCTAATTTGAATCCATCACACAGTCCAAACAAAACTGACAAGAGAGACTTACTGCAGGGCTGTTGTACAGAGCTCTTTTCAACTGTGAAGGGTTTTCTCATTTCTGGATACAAGCAGAACATCATAACAATGAATGACTCATTGTAAGAATTGGATTTGCTAATGTTGTTGCATCCTTCTGGACTTCACTGTTTTATCCTCTTTCATGTCTGGATTTATTGCTTAAATTAATAACATCAGACCAGACACCCTGTCTGCAAAGCTGCATTCTTGATCATAGAACTTGTCACTTTGTGGCTTGTTGTCATTGTTATTTTCTCTTTGCCTAAAATCTTATGTATAAAATCTCATTTGACAGCAAAATGCAGAAGTTTAAATGAAATATTCATTCTTGGTCTTGTCTAAAATGTTCACAACATTTTGTCAACTAATCTTCTGATGACTTAAAAGTTTAGTATTTTTTGGACTCAAGCTAAACTAAAATACTTGTTTGATTTTGTCTTAATTGATTTAACTGTCTAAACATGTAAAGGAAGAGGTTAACTAAATATGACATGGACGCTTGATCTCAGGACTAAGACTAAATCTACAACTAGCTGACAAAATTAACGTTAGATATTGATTGATTAATTAATTAATTACCTACCACATCAGACAGGATCTACTAATATGCTGATATAATTGTGAGATATTAAATGACTACAAAGTCACATGGGAAAAACTAGCTACTGTAGGTTTTAGCTGTCAGGTTGAAGTTACTACACAAGAGAACCTATGAGAGTGACTAAATCCATTGAGAAACGAGGCCTGTGGAAAAAAACATTACATTAACGTGAATTTTACTTATTACAGATTGACTGCATTCAGCTGCTGTTTCCTCCAGTATCTGTGCCGATTTATGGATGTTGGGTACCTCAAGCTTCAGGCGAGATACCAAGGTAAGCAGCTCAAACAACAAGACTGACAACTGCTGCAGTGTGGTATTAACCATAACTGAATCAGCTGTAGCCAGCAATACCTGTGATGAGAGGCTTGCAGCTAGATAAGTATAGAGATATTTGATTTTCATTACATATGAAAACACAATGAAACAACAGCAACCCACAAAGCAGCATATAAAAGATATATGTATTAAAATTTAATAAATAATCATATAATAAATCAGCATAGTCAGATAAAAATGCTGTAAACATTGACAGTTATTATCCCACTTATATGTTGCACTTGAGGTCAGGGAAGTTGTTTTGGAGGGGGGAGGTTATGGTTTTAGTGGACTGTCCACAGCTTGGGGGGGCTGTTTCTCAGCCTGTTTTGTCTACACTGCTGTTTACACAGGTTGGCACGCTGATGCAGTGGTAAGCCTCACAGCAAGAAGCTCTGGCTCTGTGTCCACTGGTTTCCTCCCATAGTCCCACAGAGTATTAAAATGACCAAGAGTTGTCTGGTTAGTGCACACCAAAAACTAGTTGTTGGTCACTGCAATGACATGAAGTGAAGTTGACCACACACTAAATTGATTTCACAGATGATTTCAGTTTATAACCGACGGTTCAACCACACCTTGAGAACGACTAAGTGTGGTCAATATGAAACGCCAAGTGTGGTCAGAACGGTTACACAAACCATTAACAACATCTGTAAATCAAATATAAGCATCCTTCAGTATAAGAGGCTTGCAGTTGCGCAATCTGGATATATTCATAAGGACTCAGGGCTCTCCCACAGTGAAATTGGCTAGAGGACACCACAGTGCTAGATGGTTCTCATATTGACATGTTGAACCCCTTAAACACACACTCTGTAAAGCAGGTCAGTAGGTCAGCAATGCTGCTGTCCTGGCTTGAGGAAATTACCCAGAATACATACTGCCGTACTGTTAAATACTGGAATTAGATATCTTAAATAAAAATATATAAATAAGTAACTGAAAGAGGTGGAAAGATGAAAGTGACATGCAAATATCACAGTGTCCAGTCTTTTCTTTTTCTGTAGTGGCATGATCATGGTGATTCACTTAGTTTGAAGCCACTATTTGTCGAGGAGGAAATTGTTAAGGTAGGCACCCCTTAGTTGTTCTGTCAAAAAGACACTGTGGCATGTTCCTCAAAAAGGTAACTCAACTACTGATGTATACTTTTTCTCCAAAGACAGATATTTTTTTCCCTCCATGTTAGACTGTCCATGTTTTTGGACTGAGTGACAGTAAAAAGAAGCATTTTAGCAAAGGGTTTACTGATTTAACCATGTGCCAAAATGTCTTAGTTGCCTTAGTTTTAGTTGCATCATCCCTAACTGTAATCTAGTTTTGTGGCTTACACAGGTGCAGTTTGTCATTTTACCTAACCCAAAACTCGGGACAAGGTTAAGGCCAATTTTCCCATGTTCCTTTTGTTTTAATGTAAAAATGGCTCTGGTGGTTCTGTCTCAGGATGTGTCTTGTCTCTCCCATTAAAATGAGTCTAGTATTGGCCTGGAACAATAGTGAGTGGATTTTGCCTGTGGTCCACGGTTCTGGTGGTATAATCCCCTCATTTTCCATTCCTCACACAGCCCTCAGGCTTGATGGAGATTGTTTTTGAGGTGGCTTTGGTCCCTGTAATGACATGCAGCATTCCCTTTTTTTGTATTAAACTAAATCAATTCTAACATCAGAGCAGAGGCCGCCACTTAATATAACCTTATTGTAAGTTTTGTGTGGGTTTCCTTCCTCTTTTTTTTTTAATCACAATATTGAATTACTCTGCTCACTTGGTTGTTTCTTAGTCTACCACGGTGGTACACTGAATCAAACAAATCTCCTCAGGGGAGGTGCTTTACTAACAGGAAGTGGAAAGAGCAACAGGCGCTTGTGTTTATGCATAGCTGTGTGTGTGCGTGCGTGCATATGTGTGGGGGTGGGGGGTGTATGTAGGACACGCGCACATACTGGACTTGTTGAGGGAGAGAGAGAGAGAAATAGAGTGATTGCAGAGGTTAAGGTTTTTCCGGCGCTGTGCTGGTTTTCCATCATATAGCCATTTTAGATTCACAAAGACCATTGTAGCAAAAACAATAACAACTCAATGCAGGTTTTTGTTTGGGATGAGGTGTATCCTGTAACATTCAGCCTTGCAACCAAACATTTCACAGTAAATAATGGTGTGAGAGTAAGAGCATTCATTACCCAGTCAAGCAGAACGCACCCTTCTCTGAGGTGCAGCATGTATAACCTCCTGCACACTCGAGCAGGATTTACGAATGAAAGGTATATTAATGAGTTCTGCTGGAGACAAAATTACAGTTGAAAAAAGGTGTAGGAAACAAATAGAGATGGACTTCTTAATGGTGTTTTGTCTCTTTACTGTGAGGAAGTTTCTGTATAGAATTAGCAGTCTTTTACCAGTCCCTCTTCCCGGGGCGAGGCGTGTGCACTTAGAACACACAAAGTACAGTTGCTGATTTTGCATCAATTACTGATGTGTATGCACGATATTCTTTAAAAGTGTATTTCCAGTCTCTGTACACCTCACTTAGAATAATTTCCATTATTTTGTTTTCCAAACGTGTCAAAGGTTTGTCACACCTTTTTTCAGCGAGAGAGATAAAGCAGGAGAAAATACTGCTGAAAAAGAAAATATGATTTCAACAAAGGATAAATGTTGTCAGCTCAGCCTGGTCTCGCCAAATAGCGTTTGAGTAACACACCAATTTCTTAAATCATTTTGTGTGATATTACTAAGTATTTTTTGCTTTTCGCATGTCATTTCACTGCATGTCATTTCTCGGGATGTCATTTCTCTATTGTCTAATCCCAACCCCAACCCCTAACCCCTAACTAAAACAGTATTTAATGACACGTGGGACTGACTGGCATTAAATGAAATGCAAAAAGCATAAAATGTGTACACATTACACACAAAATGTCCTAGAAAGTGGGGAGCTATTTCTATGCCATCCCATGTTATCACCCAGGTCAACCGCCTCTTTGAAAAGGGCTGGAGGTGAACATCGTAATCCTTCCTCAATTGAACAGAAGACACAATTACAGCAGCAGTTTTTCTGCAAAAGAAGAGTCGCTCACACAGCCTTCTTTAACCTTTACTTACATTTTTGAAGTCGTGTACCTCGAGTACCTCCTCGCTCCCGTTTCCCATTCTGAAGATCTCAATGCGCTGACCTGGGTCAATCTCCAAAATACTTTCTGTCTCTACGCCATCCAACACGGCTTTGTACTTGTGGTCATACACCTGAAATGACACAAACAACCATTCACCACTGTGGCTAATGCAGAAATTCAGCAATGATATATCTGTCAATTGGCCACGTTGTCATTTCGTACCAAAGAATATTAAAAGATCTGTAGAAACATTTACAGTTAGGCCAACATTTAAGAGCTCTAAGCTGAACACAAGATCACCCCCCTCCCTGAATCGCTGCCCACATTTCAGATTGTTTCAGCTATTCAAACAAGTCTGGCGTTGTTCTCATTGACAGCTGTTTCCCTGGTTGGAAAAACAATTGTTTATATGCAGGATTAAGACTCGAGACATCATCTTCCTGTGACGGAGCCAAAAAACAGCTACATCCATGAAAAATAACGACAGAAAAATGCCACAAAAGTGTAAATGAGAGTGACACAGTTGTACAGGTTGTTGTAAATCAACTAATGAAATAACAGCCCTCAAATCAACATATTTTTTCAGTCATTGTGATGGACATAGTTAATTGTTCCTTGCGACCTTCACCACAGCTTGACTGAAAATGATGACAATTGGACAGATATACCTCTAGCTTCTGAAAACATGAAATAAATAGCAAACAGCTAACAGGATGTCAGAGTGAATAATGTAGTGAATTAAAATTGAATTTCAGTCTGATTAACTGGCTTACATAAGATAGGAAAAGAAAATTGTACTTAGGAGTTGAAAATACCTATTTCATACATAATATAAAAAATTGTAAAATGTTAAACATGCATTAATTAAGGATTTTTTTTGACTACTTGCAGGCAGTACAAGTTGATTTCATGGCGAACATGTTAGTATTCAGTTGTTTATTAATAAACCCAGCAGACACGGAGCAACATTAGCATTTGGAATCATGCTTCTGGCCACCAAATGAATGTAGGTCCAATTTTCACTCTCCTTCTAGCTCTGCCTGAGGGAAATATCTGGCTCTTTCAATGCTCCACGATGTTCACCAGGTATTTGCTAACTTTGTCTGTTTGCCATTTAATGCTGGGCAGGTGGCGTACAGTGGATTTTTAGAGCTTCTTTTAGCTGAATATAGCTTCCTGCTGCACCTGGTGAGAGTGAATCCAAAACATTAGGAAAAACTGCAGCCAGTAAAACCAAAACAATAAACTGAAAGATGTTAAAATCCCTTAGTAGAGCTGAGGGAAACTGCAGAATTGGATGATAATTCTTTGTTGGACTAAAAGCAGCCCCTTTCACATTGCACATACTCATTTGACCCATTGTTCATATAAGATATTGACTATAGGAGCTTTAAACTGTCAAAGGCCTTTTCCTCATAGCAAAGCTGTAAATGACAGTTAATTCCAAAATGACTGAGTTGCTTAAAGTGCCGTATTCATAAACTAACATCAGTGATCACGATCACTTGTGATAATGTGTCGAGATGCTGTGAGGTTAAATAAGAAAATTTATTGATAGAAGTTTGCCTGAAGAAGTAAATAAAATAAAGACCTTCTGAGTCTCCAGTACAGTTAAAGCCCTCTCTTCACTATTGCCTTAAAGCAGTGTTGTTTATCACAACTGCTTGCTCATGTACTGTTCTTGGACACGCATGGATAGCTCTTAAAATTCCCCGTCTGAAAAACGATTCATGCCCACCAGCTGAAAATATGCTATTAATATTTATGTGAGGGTTGTGTTATGATGAGAAATATATTGCTGAGTTCATCTTCATCTGTCTCAGTGCCAAATCAGACCCTCGCCAATGAGACGCATGATTAATGAATACACTCAGATGGGAGTCCATCAGGATTTATATCCCTCATCAGAAACATCTGAATGTCCTCTAACGCTCTAACACAAAATTAGCTTTCGCTTTAAACTCATTAACATGTTTAGCATTAACATGTTTTGTGTCTGCTTTCTTCTATACAGGATCCAGAACATTTAAATACACTGCATCACATATAGCATTGACTTTTTTTTTGTGGTGGCAGACCAGAGTGATAAGGATCAAATGGGATATAATTCTTAATAGAAGATCACTGTTAGAATGGCACTAGTCTATAAATCTCCATTAACATGGGTCACAGTGGCCATGGCTCCAAAGAGAAGTCGAACTTAGAATTGTCAGGAGAAGCCAAATTAAGATGGGCTTGAAATTTAAGTGTCAATTGAGCAGTTATGGATAAAATTGGGGCTATTAAACAGTCTGAAAGTCTGTGTGGTGAATTAAAGTTCTATTTGGGCATATCTTTTATATTAACATAAAGGTGGAATGGGGGAATAGATTCTGGAGGCTTATTGATTTATACTAAAATAGTGAATTACATTTTCAGCAGGCTATCACTTTTGATGAAAATCCAGCAGTGAGAATCTCCCCACCGCACCAGGTTGAAATAGATAATAATGTATTACAACAGTTTGACTTCAACTGGTTCAATATCCAAAGCTGCTGCTGTGCACCATAATTGGCATACTGAAAATAGAAATGAATGGCCTCTGTATAGCCTCTTTTGATACTTATAGATGCTTCAGTACATCGTGGAAACTTGCAGTGTGATTTATACTGCATTAGAGGGAGGGCTTTAGAGCACAACACAGCATTTTGGCCCATTGTAATGACAATAATCTTCATAATTTCTTTTTCTGCTGATTCTCATTATTTATATCCTACATTTGTTTAAAGATATGCACTGTGAGGACTTTTTTTTTTTCTCCTCATAATTTACTTATCTTGTACCAGTTCTTAATATTGATTAATGGAAACTTTCACTTGGCTGCAAAAAAGTTAAAGCTGTGAGAGTTAATTAGCTTCCCATATGACACAGAACAGGCAGATAAAAGGCCAGCACATAGGATTGGTTCCAATTTATGTTACCCTCACTTACAAGGGCTCTGAAAGGCTACTGTGTGACTACTTTGGCTACAAAGACTTTTAATACATGTGAAACTTTAAACAATTATACCACTATGATATTACAGCTGCAGTAGACAGGATTTTTATTTATTATCACACCCGGCATGTAGTTTAATAAAAAATCTTATCTCTAAACCACTTACTAAGTCAGTCAGAGAGACACACATTTAAGCAATAGCTCAAGACGGTCTGATGATATATTACAAACTGGAGTGAAGTATTGCTTTTAAAAAATTATTTTGTATTGTTTGTTGCCATTTCTTGTGCCACCACACTGTCCAGCGTCAGTAGGATGACTTTGAAAACTGCTTGTATGCTTGCATTTTTTGTTAGGCGGAGGTCAGTTGCTTGGCATGGCGAGGATGCTGCTCCGCTCTCTCTGGCCACTGAGTTTCAGTCACCAAAAGCTCTGGGGAGAGGTTTTGCACTTGTAGCCATAATTTCATTTGTGTCAAGACCAGCATCAGATATTTTATGACTCATGATGCTGTAGAGGCAGTGGTTAGTGTATTTCCTCTACGTTCCTGCTTGGTTGCATATTTGGACCAACTTTGTTGCAAGATGACTGACGCCTTTCGGTTCTCACGTGTACCTGTAACAGACAGCAAATCACACTTTTTAGATTTCGGATGTAGCTTAGGTCATATAATTAGTTCAATATAATCTTTAAATAAGTCTATGGTGCCCTAATCTTAACCAAAAGAATATGCACTAGGCCTACTTACCAAACACTGTTGACACCACAGATTAATTTTCTTGTTTGGTGATGATGGAAGGCTGGTGCGTTCAAGGGTAGGTGGTATGAGTTCTTTATGGATGAAACGTGGCAGAGAGGATCGGCAGGCTGTTCATACATGAATCCCCTTGAGCTCACTTTACTGTTCTCCTGTGGGTCATTGTGATTCTTTGTATGCTTGTTGAAGACCAGCGTTGCATACTTAAGTGTGTTTTCATCTCTTTAGATGGTGAATGATGTGGGATTGAGCTTTCCGATCACCCTCATTTCCCCTATGCCCATGTGTAGTTGAGCGTCACACCACTCTTTGTTTACCAGCCTCTGCGGGGTGTTGAGATCCAGCGCCTTTGTTATAGCTTTGAAGTCTTCTTCTGATACTGATGCACACTGAACTGTTGTGTGGAGTCCTTTCTTTCTAAGGGTTTTCACAATACCAGCGAAAACATTATTGCACCATTAGACATCCATTACGAGTCATATTTCTGGCCACCTCATGAATGTAAGTCCAACATTTACTCTCCTTTTAGCTTTGTCATTGGTCTCCATCAACTCCTGAGGGAAATATCTGGTTCTTTAGTGGCTAAATGCTTCACTGTGTTCACCAGCTAGTGATAATATAACTTTGCCTGTCTGCCATTTGGTGCTGAACAAGTAGTGTACAGCAGGTTTACCAGAGCTCTTTGCTGAAAGAAGGTACCCAATGTTGCTGAAAGCAGCAATATGAGAGCAGTGACAATGAACCAAAACGGTAAAGTTGTGCTAAAGCCCTAAAGCCAAAACAATGAGCTAAAATATGCTAAAACACTCCATACAGAGCAACTGCAGACTCTTGCAGGTTGGTTACAATTACATACAATTATCACACATAAATCTTCCATAGCTAATGTTAAAATACCAGTTTGTAATGCTTTAACTAAAGACATGCACTTAAAACTATACATTGCATGGACTAAGTTTATTTTCATTTAACAACTTTATTTAAAAAAATACAATCCTTATTAAGTATAACATCTCTTCTCTTTGCCTCTCTTCTGATAACCACTATTTCAGTAGAAACTGTCTTTGTTGATAAACCTGGCCATTCTCTGAAATCACATTTCATGATTTCCAGGATTTTCCCATGAAAGTTAAGTTTCCTATGCGGCCATAAGCAACAGTCTCTAATCTGAAGTTCGGCACTGACTCCCTGTTGTCTCACCGGCTTAACAACTTGTAACAGCGTTGAAGTGCAGCTAGTTTATAAGAAAGCAAAACAGTAACAACAATGACGTCTTCTGGATGTTAAGTTATTGTTATTTTTAACAGTTTATTTGAACACTTAAAGGTTACGTAGTAAACAACCTAACACCGTGAAATGCACATTGATTGCCAAAGAAACAGAACTGCGAACCAGAC